AATACATCTAATTGTTATTATAGTCAGTCAATCAGTCAGCTACAACATATGATCCGGCGCATACATGTATCGGTCCAATTTGCCACACATCATTAGCACAACAAGACAAACGCCAAATTCATGGGGGCAGTTATATCAATGGTAGTAATACATATAAAACGAAGATCGCATATAAGGATATAATGCAGAAAGAAAGAATTAGTTCGTAGAAAGAAAGATATGAAGCGATTCTAATCTCACCGTTTAAGGAAAGACAAAGAGTGTATACACTAACGACATTGTGATCGATCCGGAGCCAGTCACCAAGAGTCTATAATCATTGGTTATGATAGTCGAGCGCACAGTGGTAATTGGTGGTTGGGCAAGCGTAATACTTTGCCAACCATCCCAGCCGACGAAGACTTACAACCTCATCAACTCATTTACCATCATTCCCTGATACCCTGCGTCTAACCTCACTATTATTTACCCGGTAACCCCAGCAAATGCTGGCAATATTTCTAAGACATCTGTGATCAAATATTAGAAGATTACAAGTATCTTCTACTCCTAATGGCCACGTTCCGCAGCCGTGAAGTAGAGTAGAACGAATTGCTCAGCAGTATAGTCGTCCTTCGCCATAGGTGACGTAAGATTGCAAAGGTCAAACGAGCATTCTGGATCCATACAGAGATTCCCTCAGGCACCAACCCATTACGGCTGATCAGACTTCCAAGATAAGTGAAGTTGTCAACGCGTTCGACTACTTCACTCCCTGTCCTTAGTTCAGGTATCGACGCAGACCAATCCTTGAGTAACATCTTGCAATTGAAGGGAGAGAAACGCGTCACAAACATCCTGGCATTGTTGCTCAGTATCACTGAAAGATTTTGCATTTTATCAGCGTCTTCACCAAACAGGACCATGTCATTTGAGTATTCTAAGTCGATAAGTAGACCTCCTGGTGAGACACCGAGTCCTGAAAATCCAGATGACGAGAACGTCATTTTATAGCGGCAGGCCTACGACGAAATTAAACAGAAATAAAGAGATTGGTCAGCATTGTCTGACACCACTTGAGGTTGAAAAGTCATATGACAGTTCGCCATAAGCTCTGACTCAACTATTAGTGTTCAAGTAAAGAGCCTTTACAAGGTTCATGTAATTCTGTGGCACACCTTTCAATGACAGACACTGCCACAGAACCTCACGGTCTACAGAGTCAAATGCTGCTTTTAAGTCAAGAAAGACCACCATTGTCGGACGCCGATAAGTATGCCTATGTTCTAGAACCTGACGAATGGTGAATATGTGGTCGATGCAGCCACGACCAGGTCTGAAGCCAGCTTGAGTCTCTCGTTTTTGCAGTTCACGAGTCTTAGTTAGGCGTCTGATAATTATCGAGGCTAGTATTTTCGATACTATATTAGTTAAACTAATCACTCTATGGTCGTCACAGGATGATTTTAACCGTCTCTTATATATTGGGACGATAAGTGATTATGACCAGTCATATGGAATAACGTCTAACTCCCAGATCTTAGCTAAAATATTAGTCAACCTCATCGCTAAAATTGGACCACCAATACATCTGGATCATCTGACATTCCTCGTTTCAGATTAACTATAGACTTTTGAACTTCTGCTAGAGTTAGGGGACCTACTTCAATGTTCCATTCAAGCTGTTTGGGAATGAAGGGTAGTTGTAGAGTAGCTGAAGGCCAGCTGAACTGCTGTTAAAGGTGCTCCGCCCATCGTTCTAAATGTCTGGGCTGATAGCAGATTATAGTATCGTGTTTATCCGAGACCGTCTCACTTACACTTGACTTATTAATTCCAGCATCTTTTACTAGTCTGAAAAGGTGTCTCGTGTTACCTACAGCCGCGGCCTTTTCCATAACTTTTCCTTTAGCTACCCATCCCTACTGACGTTCGTTCCTTAGACTTTTGCTTAATCTAGATCTGATTCGTTTTCGCTCATCATCGTGTTCAGAGCCATATGAGAACTTATCAGTGAAACAGACTTAGTAGAAATCCATTGGTGTTTTGTAACCCTTTGCTTTGAATCACTAATAGATGTCACTCCTATTTCCACAGCTGTTTGGACATCTTTCGAAGCAACGTCTGGGTCAGCCTCGTTTTCAGAACTACCTAAGTGCGACCTCAGTTATTCCTGGAATCTATTTTTGGCTTTCTTGTCACTGAGTTCAATTCTAATGGGTCTTCTTAGTGTGATTTTTCTGTGTCGATTGAGGCGAATGCAAATTCGTGCTCGTATTAGAGCATGATCAGAGTGTAAATGTATATTCCAGAATGAGTGGGAGCCTTATATCGAGAATCCCAACGACGACTGATGGAAATATGGTCTACTTGAGTCCATCGTTGGTTTGATACATGTGGTCGCCGCCATGATAGACAGTGTCTCTCCTTATAAGTAGATTAGTGCTTGCTAACAATAAACGATTGTCTGCAGCAGACGATCACCATTATTTTTTCGCTGAGCCGGAATACTAAAATACCCGCCTAAAGCTCTTTCGGTTTGGTTTAAGCTATCAACTTTGGCATTAGAGTCACCTGCTACGAGTACTATGTTTGAGTGTTTAGCTTTTTAAAGAAGTTCAGAAAGCTTTTTGTAAAAGCCATCTTTTACTTCATCCGGGCATCAGTCAGTGAGAGTGTAGGCAGAAACGACGAAAAGGCAACGACATGTGTGCCTATCCTTCCGAGTTCTTACCGAGTCGTTTATTCAAACAGAACATAGGCGACTATTAATGGGGATCCATTTTAATAGCGCTTGTTCTGCCCTCGTACGTAGTGTTATGCCTACACCCGCCAGTCCACGAGAACCATTTATCGGGTCGCCAGATATGCAGTCGTCTCCCTGTTTTGGCGAGGTGAGGTCAAGTGAATGACAAACTAGGGTCCTATATGCGTGCTTCAGAGACGCAGCATACATCAATGGCACGAAATCCTAGGGTCTTAGTCAAGGAGGCCAGCTGGCCTATTTGAGATAGGGTGAAGTTGTGTTAGAGTTATTCTTAGTGATCTGAGAGCGTGAATATAATGCCCAAGAGGTAACTGCTTGGGACCGATCACGCATGATCTGTTTGTGGGTATTTCTGTGTTAGCTCCATACATGTTGAGACCTTACCACTGGAGACGGAAATATGTGAGACAATGTGAGGTGTGCATTCTTAGAATCGACTTTTTCTAGCCCACCCTTCCTTGTGGGAAGGCAGCATCGCTGTTTTTCTGATTATCTGAAGGATACACCATACTACCGTCACACCTTTTTACAGTCGGAGTACGGCTTCAACCTCGGGCCTTGGGTCTGTTGATTTAGGTCCTACCGCTCTTCAAGTAACCTGCCCTGAATGGTAAGATCTTGAAGAACGGTTGCTCCAGCCAGTGTAGCCCGATTATTTCATCACGATAGGCGAGACCTGCCACAACTTCAAGGTAGAAACAACAGTTGGGTTATCATCAGAGCGTATCTAGGCAAGCAGGGTTTATTATGTGTTATTTGATTTGTATTGGATCTTGTGTGATTATTTAAACTGTTTTGTGTGTGCTGATGTACATTAGTTTGCATAGGTCTTTCGCTGAGAAACAGTTACCCTCCGCTATTTGTTTTTAAGAAATATCGTACTCGTCTATATCTTACTAACTGACTGACGAACAGGATTAGAAACACAGAGTGACGTTAGTTTCCAAAAGTATCATCACACATAGCTTATCATGATACCTTGAGATTTGTCGTGTGCTTTTACATTTACTTGATCATGGACCTAAAACTCTTAAACTATAAAAATGTGATAATCTGATTTCTAATTTTCATGCTTTGAATCGCGAAATGACAACCATTGAAAACTGGAAGCATTGAACGGTCAATTTTTCCTAATGTGGAACATCACAGCAGTGCACTTCTCTGACCTCGCATGCCAAAATCGAACTTAAGACCCTAATTGTCGATTGCAAATACTGTCTCTAGATCACTGAACCTACATCCAACGGTTTTAATGCTTAGCTTTAATCCGTCTGTGGTTCAAATTATAAAAATTCTATAATCACATATCCCTCAATACTGATAAGTTGTAACTGTCTAACATGACTATTCAAATTATTTTTAATGACTATGTTGACGTTGGGTCGCCAAACTTTTATGAACGTTGGCTTATTATGTTAAGTAATAAAGCCTAACCTGAAAATGGTGGTATTATTTTATGAGTCCTGTTAGGTTTTTGTTAAAAATACGTACACTTTATGAATGTGACAGAAGTGGAGTAAACATTATTTGACTTCACACAGTATCTTGGACTACTTTTTTATCTAGAACCCTCATGTTTTTTTACTAAGAACTGAACATTTAAAGCAATCGTCTTATTTTCCCAGACATACTGGGAACATGAAAATATAAACTTAAAACGTATGCGAGTATATTTTATTCCATAAAATCAACAGTTGATTTCATTTCTCTGCCTTTACTTAAGTAAGTAGACTCCTCTTTGAATTTTCATTTCGGGTTTGATAATAATAGAACTATTAGTAAGTGGTAGTTTATTTCTTCCTTACATTTATACTTTTCCCGAACTTAAAACGGTTTATTTGATTTTGTTTTTTACTTTTGTTGATTTCCTATTCTCATACGACGTGTGAAACCTTAAACCCAGAAAGTTTTGTGTAGAGTTATATTTGTATACTTGTTTTTCTAGTTATCTGTCCGGTAAATAACTAAATGTTCATATTTCACTGTTGTGGTGCTTTTTATGGAAAGCCATACAGGCCAGTAATCACGTAAAAGGAATGGATCAATTTTCGAGTTAAAATATTTTGGTCGGTAGGCTTATTAGAATGATTTTTTGTTTTAGAAATAACGTAGAATGCTATAATCAAAAACCTATAGCATGCAGCAGTTTTTAATTTAAAAACTTGGTAGGCAAGGTTGCCATGGTAGAGATAATTAAGCAACGATTGAGTATTTTCAAATGAAACATCTTCAAAATACTTTTTATTAAAAAGTATTAGTGATTGGCTTGTAGGAACTGTTTGCTTTGATGGTCTATCAACTCTTCCAAATGTTGAGCTCTCTGATTGGCTGCGTCCAATTCACGATCCTTCTTCTCAAGTTCATTTTGAAAGCTTTCTCGCAATATGGCGAATTTTTCCTCTTTCTTTTTAATGATCTCCTTAATTCTATAAAGGGTAAGAAGGAAAATTCTGTCTGTTTTACGGATATAGTTTTTGTTGTTCACTTTTAAAACTACATTCTATGTGGAACATTGAGTTCCAACCGCTTTACAAACACATAGTTATAAATGCAAGATATACTCAAAACAGTTGGCGGTGCACAGTTTGCAAAACAATTGGTTGTATTATTTTAGATAAAAAACAAGAACTTTTTACTTCTAACAGTTTAATCTCATTGAGTGAACTATTTTCACTTTTTGAGTTGTAGGCTGCAGTGAAATCCAAGCTGCGCGTTTCGTACTATTTGGGGTTCGCCATTAGGATTTACTTGCATCCCAGCCTGGATGTTCAGACTAGGACTCGAACCCAGTATGTGTTGCTTTAAATTTCAAAGGCTTGTCCAATAAGCTACTGAATTCAATTAGTCCAGTTCAACATATATGAATTCATTTTTAGGAGTTTGTATTATCCCATTATTAATGTAAATAAATCCAAGTAATAAGTCAAATATGCAACCAAACATACTAAATTCTGAGACAAAGGTAATATCGAGGCAGCCCCCTCAAGGTGCACAAATCTTATGAGAATTTGACCAGTAGGTGTCCTTTATACCAACAACGAGAAAATGCAAATACAAATATTTTCACTTTTCATGCAAAGTTTGAACCTAACAAAAATATAAAATTTAAAATCCAATGTTCTTCAGTTATAAGTGCTGCAGATTAAAAGCTACTACTAACTCATCACCGACGTTTATGGTACAGCACCTTGTCAGGACTTTTCCAAGCATCTAATATCAGGTCTCATGAATGACATGAAATAATTGGGCTATCAAAAATGGAAAAAACAAACAAGGAAACTCAAAATCAAAGTTTGCCATTACTTTAGGTGAACTGTTTCTATTTCTGAGTTGTTCAATTTCTTAATAGCATCAATTTCTTTTTCATGTCTTTCTTGTTCAGCCTTTAAACGGGCCTTCAGTTCGGCCAACTCACGTTTCATCGACCTATTTTCTTCTTCCACATAAACAAGGCGATCAGCAAATTCCTGACGTATTACATCTGAAATGTTTTGGCGTTCTTGATTAAGTTTTTCGTATAATAAGCGAACTTCAGCTAACTCCTGATCTTTCTGCGTCAACTGTGACCGAAGTCTATCTGCTTCATGCTCTTTATCTAAAAATTGAGTCTATAAAGAGATGAATACAAGAGATAAATGTTTACTGTAATGTATTTATAAAATACTGTTGCAAGTAGTTTGCTAATATGAAAAGTAGTCTTTGGTCACAAAAATCTTTGCATCCAACAATGAGTTGAATTCTTTATCGAACTGGAAAGTTAAAGTTCACAAATAAAATGTATCTGGTTTAAAAGTATACGGATATTTATCAGTCGGTGAATGTAAATTTCTAATTCATCAACAGGTTTCAAGTAAACCAATAATAATCACAGATTTTAGAGTGCAAAAATTTTACAGACCTTCATCAGACAATATTTTCTCCATTGCTTGTCTCTCTGATCTTTCAAGTTCCTCTATTTCAGCTTGGAATTTTTCACGTACACGTCTGAATTAAAAAAGAAGTAAATTGAAGTGGTTTAAAAATGTGAACTTACTTCACCTTCAGTTCTGCTTGACGATCAGTTTCTAACCTTGCTTCATTTGCTTCGGCTTCAAGACGTTGAACTGCAGATTCTAACAAGCGATCTCGTTCTTTCTTGAGTTGTTCCTTTAGTATAGTCTCTCTAGAAGTATACTGGGATTCCAACAATGACTTAGTATGTTCTTCCCATGCTGTACGTTCAGCCAAATTACGTTGATTCAACTCAGCTATTTCATCCTTGTAAGTAAATAAAAAGAGGGGGAGGGAGAAACAATTTATTTACTTGACATTTTTAAGAATTTTTGTCCTCAGTTATGTGATGTATATAAATAGGAATTCACACCTATTCAAATGTTAAAAATAAAGTGCCTAGGGAATCTTACAGTTGTTTTAGGTAGATTTGCTCTTCTATTTAAAAATAAAGTATAGACCGTTATGCCAGTCTGGAACAGATTATGGAAAACTTTATGGATTGGACACATTTTTCTACTAAATAATCGTTTCCGACTGTTTACAACAAGTGTACACGTATTTCAAGGCAACGGACGAAAACATTTTCAAAAAACTTGAATCCAATTTTAGTGAAGTAATGATGGACTCAAAATGTTGATAAAGACCAGGTAGTCTTTTGCCATTACCTTCCATCTTACCGAATGTTTGGTAATGCAAGCATATACCTTTCCCAGATGGTCCTTCGACTCGAGAGTATCATGCTTCCTATGGAAATTATTTCTGGTGCACTAAAATTTCTTGAATATGCTCTTACTCATCTATAACCTCTAATCAATCAAGAAATTATTTTAGCCGGCTAAAAGAAATGTTTGTAACCAGAACAATAAAATTGTTGGTTATAGATTGTCAATATTAAAGTGTAGTCATCGCTATTGTCTCGTAAGTTTATTCCAAGTACTTATTTACACCTATTACCCCTCACGGAGGAGCATAGGCCGCCCATCAGCATTCTCCATCCAACCCTTTCCTGGGCAATCCTTTCCAGCTCTTTCCATTTGTTATTCACCCTTTCCATATTTGCTTCTATTTCCCGACATAATGTGTTCTTTTGCCTTCCACTTCTCCGTCTCCCTTCACGATTCCAAGTTAGGGCTTGCCTCGTGATGCAGTTTGTTGATTTGAGTAGTGTATGTCCTATCCATTCCCATCGTCTTTTCCTAATTTCCTCTTCAGCTGGAAGTTGGTTTTGTCTGATGGCCATTCTGATTTCTTCCGTCGTTGGTGGATTGATATCTATAGAAAGTTCTGTGTGTGCTGCTTCGATGTCCGGTCGGCTCATTGGAGCCGGCCTATTCAGGAATACTCTACCCATCTGTTCCGCCGTTGTTGAATTTCAGTGATTGGCCTGCCTTCTTTTTCCTTGACCGGTCTCTCTGGTTTACTACATTTTCCTGCTAGTTTCTTCGTTGTATCGTAAAGCTGTTTCATATTTCCTTCTCTTGCAGCTTTTTCCGCCGTCGTTGCTAGTTCTTCCACGTACTTCTTCTTGTCGGTTCTAATGCTCCTCTTCACTTGTTTGTTTGCTTCTGTGTATTCAACTTGTTCTTGAACTTTCTCTGTTCTGGTTCAGCTGTTGTTAGTTGCTGTTTTCTTGTGTTTTTTTGAATCTTGTACAGGGTTCCGATGGAGATCCATTCCTTATGATGATACTTCTTGCGACCCAGCACCTCTTGACACGTTGAAGTTGATGCTTCTCTGATCCCTTTCCAGTTGTCCTCTATAGTAGTTTTTTCTTCTCTCAGTAGATCCTGCAAGGCGTGGAACCTATTGTTGAGAGTTATCTTGAATTGGTTGAGTTTTTCAATATCTCGATGGAAGGCTGTATTGAACCTTTTTAATGCTGTTTATCCAGTTGTCCAGTTCTTCTTTAGCTTCAGTTTTAAATTGGCCACAACTAGGTGGTGATCTGAGGCTATGTTATAATTGTTTAGTTAGTTAGAAATCATTACATTTACGTGTTAAGTTTAATAATGCAAGAATAGGGATTATTATTTTATTCAGAGTATAATAATGCTGGATAATAATTAAAACAGTTATGGTTTTGTTTAATAAAATTATACCAAATCATAATTCTCAAGGTTAAAATCTTTCATTCTCACGAAAATATATCTTCCGATATTCAGTGTTAATAGATGTAAAGAGCATTTCGAATTAATCTTAGAGACAGCCTATACTAAATTCTTGTCCAACCACGTACAAACGTTGGTTTTCTGTGTGATAAGAATGTACAACGGGATGTATAAAATTAATTATTTGAATAGGTAAACAATGTATATATTTTCAATTAATTTTAATTGATATCACAGCACACTATCCTACTGTTTCTTTTCAATAGATACGTCGATGAGATCGATTTAGTCATATGTACTCAAAGTTTAATAAAACACAAAACTATTACTATTTTCATATCCAAAAGCTTTGTGTTCACTGAATTCTTAATTTTAATAGTAAACAAGAACACCCACCTCATTTGCAATATTCTGTTGATGTTCTATATTAAGTGATTCACAATCAATTGTTGAACTTATTTGAACAAGCGTTCAGTATAGACTTGTTTGAAACTTTATTTATCTATGATCATTTAGATTTTCATCATTGAGGAGATCCTTTACTCATACTCTGTCTTCTCGTGATCATTTTTCATTTTCATTCAGCAATAATTACAGTTTAGTTACTTAAAAAATTCACTTTTCAAAAAGGGCTGAACCGGTTGAGACAATTAAAAAAAAAATTAAACTATAGCTTGTGCAATCCAATAAAACCCACCGGTTGACCATAGGATTTAACTATCCAGATTGTATTGAAATCGGTGGGTTTTGGTCAAAGGGTGGTTAACTGATTGGTTTGAATCACATACTCAGAAAGTGAGATCAAACCAATTATATGAGTAATTTTAAAAAATAGTCAATAACGAATACATTTATAAATTTAACTCCCCACCACACTCCTCACAGGAAACATGGATCAATCAAAATAGTAAAGACTTCCTAACTTGTTCACAGCGAAGAAGAATGACTGCAATATATGATAAATCTTCCATAAACAACTGAGAAATAACTTGTAAGAAATCGTGGAAATCCAAGAGTCTCTGAAAAGTTTGTGTCATTAGTATAACCAGGGTACTCATCTACGGGATGTTTATCAGAGCGTTTTTGTATTATTCGGTGAACAGTTTTGTTAACTAACTCTAAACAAGGACGAAAATTACTGGATTTCTCTAGGCTGTTTAGTGCTAGTAATTCTCAGGATATACATAGTGACCTATCCCTCGTGGCGTTTCTCAACCAATCTAATAACCGAAGAACTTCTGGTCTGCATCTTCAAATAATTTAAGATATCCCTAATGAAATTTTGTTACAAAGTCTTGCTAACTCAGCAAGAAGAACGTCTTACTTAGAACTTTTTGGTTGATCGACAGTTGTTCGTTAAGAATCCTAAGAACCACTTAGTTTGAAATTTTCGACATAAATATATCATTTTAAATTAATAGAAGAAAATAAATTGAATAAAGATGACCAAGCATTCTCTGTTCTCATCTGTTAGATGAAATTAGTCAACGGTACTTGTTAAATTACTTATTGCTTGAATTTTGATCAAGAATATAAAATAAATAACCATGAAGCAATAATATTATACGTATATAATAGAAACTGACCTTATGTCTTTGACTCAAATCCGCCCTTAATTGTTCAATTTCCATTTTATGTTGTTCGTTAGCTTGTGTCAAGGCAACTTCTAAATTGTTCCTAAGAGTATCCATTTCAGCCCTTTGTTTAGATGCAGTCAATGCCAATCTTTCACGTTCATCAGAAATCTCGTCTAACAATCTACGTCTATGAGCTTCCAAAGAATTACGTTCTTCTGCTAAAGTTTGGTTTAATCTACAATTAAGCAAAATTCTGTATTTTAAAATCTTTAAGATGGGTAAATCTTCCTATGCGGAACAGTATTTATAAACCTAATAACATAAAGAAAGAAACTAATAAAGATGACTAAGTAATTTTACTGTTTAAGTTAAACCATTACTGATAATGGATACGTGCTTAAAGAAGATATAGGTTGAAAATGGTCTCACAGCCTCGTTTTAGTTCATTGTTACGTACTGATAAAAATGGAGTCGAAATCGGAATAACACCAGAGTGTTAGAAGCAATAAGAGATTGAGCTATTACAATGAATAACTTGACAAACAATGCTATCGAATACTTTCGTAGATTAATTTAACTGAATAGGGTTACCGATAAAATTGATAAAAACGATCTCATCATCCAGCTGCACCTATGAAGAGAGTACTGTAACGTTGACAAAATTAACAAATCATTATGTCTACTTAAAGTAAACTTAAGTTAACATAATTCAGGCAGTTATGTATCATAAGATAGTTCATGACAGATAGCTAACTAATAAAGAATGAAATATCTCGCACTTGTCTCGTGACTGAAACTCATGAAAGATCTATAGGTATAGAATGAGTTCCAGATTGAATGATACAAATGAGCAAATAAATCTCCAAGCAAAATTGCATGTCAGTAATGCTGAAACCCTCCGGCTATGTAGGCAGTAATATTCTACAAATTGTATACTATAACTCGGTCGAAAATTACTAGCTTATCAACTTCCTGATCAATTCCATCAAATGAATTCTCAGAATAGACTTTCTGGTTTGATGTCATCAAATGCCAGTAATCGTTGATTGAGAACCTTGAGTCTGATAGTTCAAAGGCGATTACAGTAGCGGAAATGAATTAGTCATGAAAGGAGCTTGAGCGTCCATATCATATCCTAATTATACCAAAACCCATCTGAAGGTATACCAAAATAATAATCTCATGATCGCAGTTTGCTACTTATTAAAACATCCTTTTTAGGTGAAAAAATTTGGAAATCTCAGCTTTTTAAATTTGTGTCACAAAAGATCACATAATTCACATAAACAAAAAATCGGCAGTAATAGTTATAGTTCTTGCTTAAAATGAGTTTCTAATACACATTCACAAAATGGCCGTCCATTACTTCCAGGTTTTTAATGGTTGTCTAACTTTGTTCGATTTGCGACTTCAACAAGAAAGTATTAGTAATTACAAAAAGGCTATCTAACTACCTTTGTTCAACAAGTTCTCTTTCTCTACAGCAGGCTTCATTTTTTTCTTTTATCAACGTCTGTTTTAGTTCTTCAATGTGACTCATATAAGCTTGATAGGCGCGTACATCAGCTGCTTGAATTTGTTCAGCGCATGACTGACGCAAACTTGCCATTTCGGCCTTGTGATTTGCGATCATTTGGGCTACTTCATTTTCCATCCCACGAATAGTAACTTCCTATTAAACCAAAATGAAATTAATACAGGAAAATATCAAGATATGACCCTTTTCCTTATATAAAATATGAGCGAATTCAATTATGCTCAAATTCTCATTTGATTCTGTTCATCACTTGTCCTTTATAATCTATGTTGTGAATAGTAACAAAATGCAAATAATTTATAAATTAACTCCATAGACACTTGTGTAGGTAAACTATCTCCATGATAAAAGTTTTATTGTATCAGTGGACGTTTCATAAAGTTATCCCCCACTTTCTGAATGAAACACGAACATTTATGAGTATGTATTCAGTTTAATTAAAAAGTGAATAAAATTATCTAAGGAATTATTTTCCGGTAAGAAATAAAACACGTCCACCCGGGTGTCTCGAAAATTAGACCAAAATACAAACTAAATTTGGCTTGTAAGACGTAGATTTTTAGCGGCTCATCATATGACTCCAACTGGATCGTATGATGGTTGTTATCGAAAATATACATATATATAATCCTCATATACAATTATCGACTTATATCGCGTTGATGAAGGACGGAATTAAATAAGTCAAATGCGAGAATGGAGTTTGAATACGTATATTTTGTACACTCACTGATCTGAACAAACAATCACGAAACTAAGAGGAGGAAGCGTAGAGGAGAGAGCGAAGCAAAACGAAATGACACTCAGTGGATAAGGCGAATTAACTAACTCGTATTGATCAATATTTATATTCAGACAAAAATATGTTACAGACACTTAATAAATAAGATAAGTAACTGGCACACGTACGACCATATATAAACGGTCAGGGTTAATAACCGAATAAGTGACAAGGTCAAAATGTAGTTTAAGAAGAATGAATAAATTAGTCTGTCGAGAAGCTAGAATATCCTATTTAGGTTTGATATAGTATCAGCTACTATAAAGCGTTTGTAATTTTTATTAAGTGATTTCCGACCGCCTCAGTGTCGTGAATTAGGATATCCATTTTTTAATGTTAATTTCTTTTTATGCATAACTAAACATAAATACATTCAATTACTTTATATTCATATCCAATATCAACTTTTTAGCACCAATATGGATAGCCATTGAATAACTTGTTAGTACTGCAAATGTGAATAGATAATAAAGTTTAACTAAAATTCCCTGATATCTTGGATCTCTTAGTTAAATAGTCCTTATAAAACACTGATCATATGTAGAATAAGGGAAAATAAAGAAAACGAGCAACTACTTTAAATGAGCTAGTTCTTTAAAAAAGTATATGATAACTGTCAATAAAAAATAACTGCTTATTTTATTCGAACACATGAAAGACCCTTTGCATCTAATCCATACAGACTTAAAGCACCATATCAAATTGTATACAGGTTATATTCTACAGACTTTCCTCTTCGTATGCTTCTGAAATGAAGTGAACAGTTATCTGGAGTATTAATAGAACCTTTTAATGATCAGATACCAAAATTTAAAGAACACTCAATCATCATCAGGAAACACGCGTCAGCATTACTCTAACACATTCACAATGAATGCTATCTCTAACCGCTTTCCATACACTTAAAACATTACTGTGAATTACTTCTATAATATTGTAGGTAATGTACCATAACGCGATGTATATTGACAGATAAATGCAATAAAGGTCATACAAAAAACTACTCACTTTAAAATGCTTTGCTTTTTCTGTCTCCCACTTTTCCCGGCGCAGCTTTTCCGCAGCTAAATGTTTGGCCTCTACTTTTCGCATCTCGACTTTGTGTCTAGTTAAAAGATTATCGAAAACACTACTTATGTTAACTTTATTGGCTGTAACCGATAAATTTAGCCTTTCTATGATAGTTTTCGTTAATAAAATTTCTACAGTTTTTTTTATATTCGGTGAATTAAGTATATGCACTTCTTTTATTAATTGTCAACTATAGGCGACAAAAAGATATATTCTAGTTTTATATTTTCAAAGATTTTCTTCCGTTCAAACATCGCTGAAAGATTCATGCTTTGATGAATGAATGTCTAGTTTAGGCTACGGATAAAAAATTAGGACACATTGGCAATCTATGCATTGAAATTTCGTTGGTAATCATATTAATAAGGTAGATAGAATTACCCAGATTAGAGAAGCATCCAATAATCATCAATTTATATCATATGGTCAGATATGCAACAGTTTGGAAAAGCATCAGTATATAGCTTAAAAGTGATAGACGTGAACTTTGCGTCTAGTTTATGATCAATACATTTTGATAATTGTGCATTTCCAGGTATTTTGACTGTAGAACCATCGTATAAAAAAATCCTATACTGCGCTAAACCTGTTTATCTCTACGTAGCTGTATTCATCGTAATTCCAGAAACGTTAGTAAGAATAAATTAATCATTAGTTTATGGTGCGATTTTCCATTCCTTACGATTCGAATTTTATCCTACATAACATCTGTTATTACTTCCACAACATTTGTTAAGTAACTAGATTTAATAACTTTAAATACGCTCAAATATATTGTTATGGACGCAATTACTTTATACTTGTATTACTTATCTAGTCGTAAATCGAATCACCAAGGACTGTTATGTAAAATTCCTATAAACAACTTCACATAGTTCCAAACTCAGTGTTTTGTTGGATCTCGAAAGGAAAAGTGCAGCATCTTTAAAGAATAGTTGGGTCAAATAGTTCCATGTTAGATAGATAACCTGAGTATTACAAAATTTCAAAAGATCACAAATTAAAGCTCAACTCTTCATCAATTATAAGGAAATTTAACAACTTAAAGAGAATTCTTCAACCTGGACTATGTACAATAGTATTAAACATAAAAGGTGGAAGCACTTACAAGTTTAAACCTATCTGAATAGCAAGATTTAAACGAATGCTTAATTTAGACAAGAATGTATTACGGAGTGTACCTGAAGTAAACAAGTGCTCATTTTATTAAATAAAATATAGGCTTTAGCCATTTGAGTAAACGATATTAAACTTTTTCAATAGAGCTCGGTTCTGAAAATTTCAATGAACACGGTATTGAAAAAGTACTTTGTGTTGTGAACTGACTATACAGGTAAATTATTTCTTTCTAGTTGACTGAAGAGTTAGACTCACGAAATGAGGACTAAACAAAATTTCCGTTAGGTTCTAATCAAGCCTTTGTGAAGATTAAAAGCAAGTCTTAATTTTAAATCGATTACTCCTCTTAATAATTTTTTAATTCGCGTTGCTTGGTGCTCCTTCGTTTCCACACCAATCATTCTCTGTTCTCGTTCTCTTCTCTTTTAGAACTTAACCTTGTGCCGCTAGGCATTTCACTTTCGATTGATGAAACATACTACTTATGTTGGTCGACATCAGTAGCACACACCACAATATGAAAAATACCCAGTTTTATAACAAATAATATGCTGAGTATCATGCTGAGCATAGTTAACGTTAATTTAATACAAGAATATCGTGAATATTATTTATCACACGGTTATTTTTGTACTGTTTCTATCAAAGATTTTTTTATCCCATCTTAAAAACGATTTCATCCCGTTTTGTCCAACGAAATAATTAGTTTTAAAATGGTAATTATTGATTATTATTCTCCAAAAAGTAATATAAAACGTAAATATTCCTCGAGTGATCACTTTTTTCTCCAAAGGTAAATAACTTACAAAGTACCAGATGTATTGTTTCGAGCGTTCCAATAGCTTGAAGAGTTAAGGAGCGCTATCAGAAATCATGAAAGGGTGACATACTGCTATTATGCGGTCCCTGACTCTCATTTCCATAAGAATCAGAAGAATGCCTCAAACAGTGTTGACATTATTCGCAGCACCTGGGCTAAGTTATGAAGAAGGTGATACTGTTTCAATAAACTCAGAAGGATTCAATGACAGAGACAATAACATAGACGAAGATGTTCAGGTCAACGAACTGTGTGACATATGCCATCTTACTCAGCCACCAAGTGAAACTGTTAAGGGAAGAACCTGGATTATTTTTCGCTGCAATGCTGTGTTTCATTCGTTTTGTGGTTGGGACGCACCACAGCAATTCCTTGGATTCCATTGTCTAATATGTGGCGCGATTAAGGCAGTGTAATGGAACACATGAACGCAGCGAAACTTGGTATCACAGGCAAAATGGTATGTTCATATTTCAGTTACTAACTGAGAATCTAACGTTTTTTTACTTTTTTTATGAGGTTATTGTTGAAGAAATACGGGAATGGGAAGATGGAAAACCCTGGAAGAGAAATGATTGTAGAGTTGGAACCAAGAGACCGATAGAAGGCCGTTTTTAAGGCCACGCATAATTTCATTTAGATTTTTATTTTTTATTTTGTTACAAATTGCACTCCATATACGTTTTCTGCATTTTGTATAGCAGTTCAACCATCACTGCGTATAAATTTAATTGTTCATGAGCTGGTTTTACAGGTTGCAGCCGTTCCGTTTCGTGGTTTTTTGATAACCAAATTGAGATCATTCTTATTCGATCAAAACAAAATCATTAAGCAAAATTCTATGATTACGAGAAACCAACTACACTGTACCAATGACATTTTTAAGAACAACAAATAGTGACAGTTGTGTGGCCTGTAGTTTAGGCTATTGACTCGAAATTTGATTTTGCCTTTTTATCACATCATATCAACAATCATCTTAGCCAAGTAACAATAAAGATCACCTTCTACTAACTAACCTTTCTTCAAGTGCTTTGATTTTTTCGTTCGTTTTCTTTGTCACTGTCTTTAGTTCTTCTAAAAATTCTTCACATTTTGTATGAAGTACTTTTTTCTCTTCAATTAGTTCATCAATTAGTTTATAATTTCGGTTAATTGTACATTCATAATCAGCTTTAATTGATTCTATTCTTCGATCACCATCTCGCTGTGTGTCTTCCGACTGCCTTAAAAACAGTTCTCTTTGATGCTCTATAATTCTCTGTAAGCGTTTTATTTGACCTTTTTTCTCTTCAAGTTCCAACATCAAACATTCATTGTCAGTAGTGATACGTCCATCGTCGCTTTGAATTATCTGCTAGAAAGTATACATTTAAATTAGAAAAACTAGATAAATGGAGGTAGGTTCCTTGACAAAATTTATCCTACAGTAAGCCAAACATAGGAGTTGTGTAACAAATTATATAGTAATTAGTCTGATCTAGGATTTTCATCATATAATTTTTGAGTTGTATGCACAGAATTCATGGTAAATTAAAACTCGTCCAAACTCCAAGATAGCTTATTTCAAACTGATTTTCATTTTTAACTCCCCCTGTAGCTCTTCTAGGATTACTACCGATCTTAAGCCCGAGGAATTAAGAAGGGTTAGACATGGGTTCAGCAATCATATCCCGTGGAATTGGACCTTGCTAAAAGGCACTAACCAGAAAAAAATCATTTAAACCACTTTAACTCTGGCCTAGGAGGTAAACAGTGTTGAGCTGGAAGATTTATGACGCCTCATGGTGAAGGTTGGAAATATCAGGAAATCACGAGTCTAATGCCCCTTCTAACAACCAGAGCAACAATTGAGACATGTACATGAAATTTCCAAACAGTGTCGGAGACCAGGAGGACGAGTCAAGTAACTGCAGAAATGAAAATATAAAACCTGGCTACGTTTGAAAGAGTAAAATCCACTGGACGCAAGCTGGACAGAAAAGAATAGATTCTGGAGAGGTGCTGCTGCACACTTATACGAAGAAGAAAACACTCCACACACTCAAGGAGTTGTTCTGATGCCGTCCAAAGAAGCACATAAAGCACCTATGGATGGGAATCTCATGGATCCGGAATAATCAAAGCGTCCTCCAAAATAAAGAAGTAGGGTATCACAATGAATGCTATTCAATGTTATACACCCACAAATGATAGCAACGACGACTATAGAGATCAGTTTTACAAGAGGCTGCAATCAATCATGGCGAAGTGCACAGGAAAGAACCTGGCTGTCCTGGTGGAGTACCTAAATATCAAGGTATGGATGAACAACAACAGGAATGGAGATGTCACGGGACGACATGAACCGACTAGGAGAAAGGAACGAGAATGGCGAGTGGTTTGCAAATTTATGTGCCTTCGAAAAAACGATTATAGGTGGGACCGTATTTCCCCGGCAAACGCATTCGCAAAGCTACATGGGTATCACAGGGTCACAATACAGAGAACAAGATTGATCATGTTTCTTCACTAAGAAATTCGGAAGATCCATTGAAAACGTGAAAAAAGGAAGGATTTGACATCGCTTTAGATCATCACCTGGTGGTTGCTAAGATGAAACTGAAGCCACAGAAGCACTGAACAACTGTAGAAATAGCATTACATAAGTTCCTTCGAGTTACTGATGAACTCAATAAATTCAAGGTAGCTCTCAGCAGCAGGTTTCAGGCTTTACAGGATCTACTCAAACAAGAGGAAAATACCATGGAGAATAACTGGAAATAGATCGAAAAACAATAAACTCAAAGTGTCAGAAGGTGCTGGACTACAACAAGCAATATCATAAGGAATGAATCTCCACTGACATCCTGGAATAAGATTCAAGAAAAGATGAACATGAAGATAGCAATAAACAACAGCCCAACAAGTGTAGAGAAAGCCAAGGTATACGCCGAACACACAGAAGCAAACAAGCGAGGATCATTAGAGCCGACGAGCAGAAATACATGAAAGACCTAGCAATGACATCAGAATAAGTTGTAAGCGACAACTATATGATACAAAAAAGAAACTAGATGGAAAGTAAAACAAACCAGAGCGACCATTCAGGAACAAATAAGGCGGACCAACCACTGAGAATTAACAACAATAGGACATTTGGGCAGAACACTCTTAAGAACTCTTGAATAAACCAGCTCTACTGAACTCACTTGACATTGGAGTAGCACCTATAGACCTTCCTACCGATGTTGTCCCATCGACAATCAAACAAATCAGCATGGTTATCAGAAAAACCAAGAGTATCTAAGCATAAGAACTAGACAACTTACAAGATGAAGCACTGAATTCAGACATAGAAGTAACTTCAAAGATGCCCCACATTTTATTCAGAAAGATTTGGAGGAAGAACAAGTGCCGATAGACTAGAAAGAAGGATACATCACCAAGATACAAAAGAAAAGAGATCTGAGCAAGTGTGAGAACTACAAAGGCATCACACTACTATCAGTACCAAGGAAGGTTCCCAACAGAGTGTTACTGGACCGAATTAAAGATTCAGTAGACGTCCAACTGCGAGGTCAACAGCCTGGATTCTGTAAGGACCGGTCATGCACAGACCAAATCACTACAATATGGATCATTGTTGAGCAGTCAATAGGATGGGATTTGTCACTATAAATCACCTTCCTTAACAATGAGAAGGCATTCGACAAATTGGATAGGAGAACATTAAGTAACCATCTTCGATACTGTGGTATAGTTGAGAATATCGTCAACATCATACAGAATTCATGAGACGGGCTGTACTACAAACTGGTGCATGGAGAACAGCTGACAGACCCATTCATAGTAAAGACTGGTGTCAGTTAAGGCTGCTTATTCTTGCGCTCTTTCTCTCATTTGGTGGTTGACTGACTGGATTATGAAGACCTACATGGACAGCTTGGATGTGGCTAGAAAATTTGGACTTTGCAGATGATCTAGGTATTCTCTCTCACACGGCAACAAATGTAGGTGAAGACAGTCAGTGTTGTAGCAACCTCTACAGCAGTAGATCTCAACATTCAAAAGGGTGAAATCATGATCCTGAAAGACAACAGAGCGAGCATCAACCAAACCACACTTGATGAAGAAGCTCTGGAAGAGATGGACGCCTTTACGTAGCTGAACAGCAACATTGGTGAACAAAGCGGATCTGACGCAGATGTGAAGGCACTGATTGACAATGCAAGCTTGGCACTCTTGTAAGTGAAGACCATATGGAACTAAAACCGACCGTCAGGTAACATCAAAGTAAGATTCTTCAATACAAATATCAAAACATTTCTGTTATAAGGAGCTTATACTTAGGGAACTACTACAACTATCATGAAAAGAGTGTAGATAATTATAAAAGGTTCTCTGCACCAAATACTCTAGGTCCATTGACCGTATACAACCAGCAACAACATGCTATAGCAGAGAACAAACCAGATCCCAGTTGAAGAGGAAATTGAGAAAAGACGCTGTACGCTGGTAGGACGCACACTACAGAAAGCGCAAAACTGCATCACACAACAAGCCCTGACTTGGAACCCTCAAGGCGAAAGGAAAAGAGGCAAACCTAAGAACACATGGTGCCGAGAATCGGATACAGACATCAAAAGAATCAATAGCGCTTGGGAACAACTGGAAAGGAGTGCTCAGGGCAGAGTTGGTTGGTAAATCATGGTTGGTGGCCTATGTTTTACGAGGGTTAACAGGCGTAAGTTAAGTGAAGTTATTACCATTTTTAGATAAAGAGCTCATGTAAATAGTGAAGTGAAGTTTTAGCACCATATTTACTCTTAAATCACTTTCTTCACACACATCCGATGAAAGATGTCACTCAGATCAGGCCATATTTAGTAAATACATTGTGAATATGACTGTCAAAATACGAATAGCCATTAAATTACCTTCATTCCGTCCTTCAGTGATACACTATCATAAAGATCTTGTGTACTACGCCCCATATGACTTTTGTAAGATAATTTATTTTCAGCTTTTGTTCCAACAGAATTTGTATGCAGCAAATGAGCATTTGAGAGATTCATAGGGCTATTAAAGCAGTTAGATTGTAAAGATCTAGAAGTTGTTTGGTTTTTTACAGAAGATGGTCTTTGTGATGTAGCAGAGTTTCGACTCTTAGAATACTTTGTGTGTTGATTAGTACCAGTATCACCGCCATTTGGTTCTGGAAGATTACGACATACATTATTATGATTTGACTGGATGAAAGTAGTCAATTTTTCTCGACATTGAGATATAGATTGATCCAGTTCTTTTTGGGCCTTTTGCCGTGAACAAACCCGTTCCATATGTCTACCGAAAATAGGCCATTGAGATAACTTTGTAACTTACATAAATATGATGACAATTCCATAGTGCTAATAAAATATCATTTATTATAGAAAACTATGGAAATTTCTAAAGTGTTTTATTACAATGCTCAACAACATGAATAATTCGTTATGCTTTGCAGTGACTATTTAGCAGATGTTCTAAAACCCTTCAAAGACTTAAGGTTATCTGTCATTTTAAAATGGAAAATATGAGTCTAGTATTTTGAATCTAAAACTTTACCCTTTCTATGATGACGATAAAAGATGTAAAAGGTACACCGCCAGTAAGCACGCCAATGATCGAATGATGATATTATAATGTATTCAGACTGTCATAATGTTTAAGCGAATTTCCAAACGCTCCTAATCCTTTGTGATTCTATAAACATGATCACATCTTTTAGTTAATTATTCTTTTCTGTTATTAAGTATAATTCCCGCCAGATATTGAGTAAACCTATTTCTCTAGAAAATTATTCATGGTCGTTTCGAACAACTAGGAATTTCATTTTCGGTCTTCACTAGTTTTACATACGTTCTGAATGATAGTCAAAATAACATTTAACTTAGTGGAAATTGTAGTAATTAATTAATTGAATTCATGAGTCGATGTAAGCTAGACCACCATTGAAATTCGATTTATCGAATTTTACGAAGTTAGGCAAAAAACGTTGAGTACTGTTCTTGAAGAATACTTGTCACAATCTTAGGATGTAGTAAATTAAAGGGCATAAACTGAGTTAAAACCATTTTAACCGATGATGTCTAATAATAAGGTTTTTTAAAGATGGGAAGTGTTTGAATCTGACTTTTGGTTTCAGACTTTTATAATTATAATTATATTCCTCTAATGGTGAAGGATTATATTTAGTTTTTGCTTTCGAATTTCGACAGAATAAGACAAAATTTACCTAAATGATTATCAGATGCTTGACACTACAAAAACAGTTATTAAATTTGATATTTAGTAGCAAGTACTGGGGGGTTGTATAACACAAGAGAATTTTACTTGGTATGTGAATGCAAATTCTCTTCACTCAGGAACGTATGTCTGTTTGTAGTTATTGTAGATGAACCAGACCAATTTGACTGACCAAGTGAAGAATAATTGGATAATGTAGAATCAGATCGATTTCGAACACTTTTTAAGCCTGTAGATCGTTGAACACTACAATATTTCCTGAAGTTGATTGAATGCACTTCATCTTGTTCGGCCTCACATAGGACACGACTAATATCCTTGACTAAAAAAGAAGAAAAATCAAGCTATTTTATACCAATATTGTCTGCAAAACACCAATTAATTTTAAGAGGAATATGTATTTCACAAGTTGAAATCATGAGTCAATTGAAGCTAGACCATTATAGAAAACCTGGAAGCGCTGGATGGCCGTTTCGTCCTAGTATGGTTCTCCTCAGAAGTGCGCATCCACGATCCCGCACCCCGCGGGATTCGAACCCCGTTGGATGCCGGCTCAGCGGTCTAGTGGTTAAGTGCTCACGAGCGAAGCTAGTAGGTCCTGGGTTCGAATACCGCGGGGTGCGGGATCGTGGATGCGCACTGCTGAGGAGTCCCACAATGAGACGAAACGGTCATCCAGTGCTTCCAGGTTTTCTATGGTGGTCTAGCTTCAATTGACTCATGACTTCAACTTGTGAAATTTCTAGAAAATCTCCACAAAACCCATCCTGAAAATATGTATTTAATGATGATATGATGAATAAATTAGTTCTCAAGTTTATATTACAAGGTAATCATTTAGTTCACTTTAAAAATTAAAATGAAAAGTTTTCTTTTTCTGTACGATAACCAAGAATTATGTAAGAATTCGTTAAACGCACAAAATCAAATTTAAACCTAAAAAACGCTGAGAAATAGCTTACAGTTTTTGAAATACTTTGGAAAAGAAAACTGATATAAAACATACTTTGTCAGTAGGATTATTCTATAAGCAACACCATAATTAGTATCTTGTTTATAATAAACAAAACTAAGCCTACTGACATAAAATTCAATAAATATTCTTTTCAAGCAAATTTCACTGAAAAATGTTTTTATAAATCATTAGTACATAAATGATATCTTACTTGGTGCAAATGTGCTTTTAAAAGATCGCCAATCGACATTAGCAATTATTTTCAAGTTGGCCACAAAGTGAATTTTTAATGTTCGTTTTATTCTCAACATCATTCTCTGTGATTGAGAAAAACTATAGACTAGGACAACAAGAAATTCTATCACTGTATATCCATCTAGTATTAGGCACCGAAGTTATGTGAGACCTTAAAAGTCATATATTGTATTCCATTCACTTCATGGTTTAATGTTTCTCATATAGTATAAACCATTTATATTCACACAAGCAAGCAGGAGTTTTGCGCTTAAAAAATATTTTCATATTGCTTTCCTTCACTTTATGTTTGTCATCTTAATCAAACGATTTTCCCAATTAAAGCTACATGCACAAGATTTCGATTTACTAATTCCACTAAAATTTTTCATCTGATTTTCTTCGTAAGTGATGACTGTTAATGACTGGTTGTTTAGTTGATTATTTCCTTTCGATAATCGATATGCATTGAGTGTAGTATAACCTAACAGCCTGTTCCATTTTTTTATAACTCCATCCCATCTAACTGTTTTATTTATTAAACTACATTACTTACTTACTTACTTACTTACGCCGGTTACTCCTCGTGAAGGAGCATAGGCCACTCACCAGCATTCTCCATCCAACCCTGTCCTGGGCAATCCTTTCTAGCTCCGTCCAGTTGTAATTCATCCTTTTCATATCTGCTTCTATATCCGACGCAATGTGTTCTTTGGCCTTCCTCTTTTTCGCTTCCCTTCAGGGTTCCAAGTTAGGGCTTGCCTCGTGATGCAGTTTGACGATTTGCGTAATGTATGTCCTATCCATTTCCATCGTCTTTTCCTAATTTCTCTTCAGCTGGAAGTTGGTTTGTTCTCTCCCACAGAAGGCTATTGCTGATGGTATCCGGCCAGTGGATGTTGAGTATCTTGCGTAGACAGCTATTTATAAATACTTGTACTTTCTTGATTGTGGTTGTTGTAGTTCTCCAAGTTTCAGCTCCATACAGTAGAACTGCCTTGACGTTCGTATTGAAGATTCTCACTTTGATATTGGTTGAAAGTTGTTTTGAGTTCCATATGTTCTTCAATTGTAGGAATGCGACCCTTGCTTTGCCGATCCTCGCCTTTACGTCTGCATCTGAACCTCCTTGTTCATCGATGATGCTTCCTAGGTATGTGAAGGACTCTACATCTTCCAGAGTTTCGCCATCAAGAGTGATTGGATTGCTGTTTTCCGCTTTGAATTTGAGGACCTTGGTTTTCCCTTTGTGTATGCTGAGGCCTACTGATGCAGAGACTGCTGCTACACTGGCTGTCTTCATCTGCATCTGTTCGTGTGTACGTGATAGGAGGGCTAGGTCGTCTGCGAAGTCCAAATCGTCTAATTGATTCTGAGTTGTCCATTGTATTCCGTGTTTTCCTTCAGATGTCGAGGTCTTCATAATCCAGTCGACCACCAGAAGAAAGAGGAAGGGAGAGAGTAAACAGCCTTGTCTGACTCCAGTCCTTACTTGGAATGCATCTGTCAGCTGTCCTCCATGCACTACTTTGCACTGTAGTCCGTCGTATGAGTTCCGGATAATGTTGACAATCTTCTCAGGAACTCCGTAGTGTCGAAGAAGTTTCCATAATGTCCTCCTATCTACACTGTCGAATGCCTTTTCATAATCAATGAAGTTGATGTATAGTGATGAGTTCCACTCAACTGATTGTTCGACGATGATCCGTAGTGTTGCAATTTGGTCTGTGCACGACCGATCCTTACGGAATCCAGCTTGTTGATCTCGAAGTTGGGCGTCTACTGCATCCTTCATCCGGTTCAGCAACACTCTGTTGAAGACTTTCCCTGGTATTGACAGTAGTGTAATGCCTCTGTAGTTTTCACATTTGCTCAGATCTCCTTTCTTTGGAATCTTGACGAGGTGTCCTTCTTTCCAGTCCATCGGCACTTGTTCCTCCTCCCAAATCTTTTTGAATAGAAGGTATAGCATGCTTGTGGTTGCTTCGATGTCTGATTTCAGTGCTTCAGCTGGTATGTTGTCGGGTCCTGCTGCTTTCCCGTTCTTGATTTGTCTGACGGCCATTCTAATTTCTTCCGTCGTTGGTGGGTTGACATCTATAGGAAGATCTATGTGTGCTGCTTCGATGTCCGGTGGATTCATTGGAGCCGGCCTATTCAGGAGTTCCTCGAAGTATTCCACCCATCTGTTACGCTGTTGTTGAATTTCGGTGATTGGCTTGCCTTCTTTGTCTTTGACCGGCCTCTCTGGTTTACTGTATTTCCCTGCTAGTTTCTTCGTTGTATCGTGAAGCTGTTTCATATTTCCTTCTCTAGCAGCTTTTTCTGCCGTCGTTGCTAGTTCTTCCACGTATTTCTTCTTGTCGGCTCTAATGCTCTTCTTCACTTGTTTGTTTGCTTCTATGTATTCAGCTTGTGCTTGGACTTTCTCTGCTCGTGTTCGGCTGTTGTTAATTGCTGCCTTCTTGTTCTTCCTTTCTTTGATCTTGTCCAGTGTTTCTATAGAGATCCATTCCTTATGATGGTGTTTCTTTAGGCCCAGTATTAAACTACATAGAGGGACTCATGTCCTTTCTCAATTTATTTAACAGTTTAATCTTGAAACTCTATAATTATTTTACTAGGCTTTTGTTAGGTTCGTTAAGCTTGAATGCTACTACTGATTCGGCTTATTCGGAACGGAACGAAGGATCAAGGATTCAGAGACTCAATAGGCTATTCTAGTCCGTTGTTCCCGACTCAGCTAACTCGATCAAGAAGTCTTGGTAAGATGTAGAAGTGTATTCTACAGGCAACCAGCAGATATCAGGTCAGGTCAATCAGGCACACAAATCAAGCGTATTTATACAAATATTTATAATTGATATTGTCATGTTAAAATTTTTTAAACATTACTCAATAAGTTCATCAATCGACTGCCATTTAAATATTTAATCGATAAGTTCGTCAATTGACTGCTATTTAAACATTTAATCGATAATTTAATCGATATGATAAAATCACAAAATATGAGTTTGGGGGATCTAGCATCCCCAACAGCTTTATTCAAGAATTACTTCTTTAAGTATCTATAATTATTTTTGTAGACTATTTTAAGTTAGTGTTGAGGCATGATGAATAGCAAGGTATACAATTTTCTTCACTCAGTATGACTTTTAAATTCAAAATTTATTTATTTCATCAGATGGATTGTGAAAGACAATTAGAGTATACTGACTGATGGAAATTAACACACTAGTTCAGTTTTGTCAACGATTTATATTCTTGACTGTGATTAATAAAAGCATAACTCCTCATGTAGCTCTTCTAGAGTTACTGCCGGTTCCAAACCCGGGTAAAGGAGGAGGGTTGAGCATGGGGTTAGCGACCCCATCCCGTAGAAAACTAACTCGCTAAAAATAACGCTAACCAGAAAAAATAATTCAAACCATTTAAACTCTGCCCTGGGAGCTAGAAGGTCTTCATTTCAAAGAAATATGATGCCTCATGGTGAAAGCCGAGTTCCTTCGGAAGCCACGACTAACAACCAGAGCAACAATTTTTATAGGTACATGGGACATCCCGACAATGTGGGAGACCGGGAAGACCAGTCAAATAGCAACGGAAATGAGGAGATACAACCTAGCAGTACTGGGAATCAGCGAAATCCATTGGACAACAAAGTCTAAATACGGGAGAGATGGTGCTTTACTCCGGCAACGAAGAGGAAAATGCTCCACACACTCAGGGAGTTGCTCTAATGCTGTCCAAAGTAGCACGAAATGCACTTCTAGGATGGGAATCTCACAGATCCAGAATCATCAAAGTATCATTAAAAACAAAGAAGGAGGGGATCAAAATGAATATTATCTAATGTTATGCACCCACCAATGATAGCAATGAAGACATTAAAGATCAATTCTAAGAGAGATTGCAATCAATCATAGCGAAGTGCCCAAGAAAAAACATCACCATTCTGATGGGAGATCCAAACGCCAAAGTCGGAATAGACAACACCCGGATATGAAGATATCATAGGACGACATGGACTGTGAGAGAGAAACGAAAACGGGGAAAAATTTACAAGTCTGTGTGCATTCAACAAATTGGTCATAGGCGGCACAATATTTCCACACAAACGTATACACAAAGCTATATGGATCTCACCGAACCACACCACAGAGAATCAGATAGATCATATTTGCATCAATAAAAAGTTCCGAAGGACAACGGAAGATGTGAGAACCAGGAGAGGAGCTGACATAGCTTCAGATCACCATCTAGTTGTAGCCAATTTAAAACTGAAGCTAAAGAAGAACTGGACAACTGGATAAACAGCATTAAAAAGGTTCAATACAGCCTTCCATCGAGATATTGAAAAACTCAACCAATTCAAGATAACTCTCAACAATAGGTTCCACGCCTTGCAGGATCTACTGAGAGAAGAAAAAACTACTATAGAGGACAACTGGAAAGGGATCAAAGAAGCATCAACTTCAACGTGTCAAGAGGTGCTGGGCCGCAAGAAGTATCATCATAAGGAATGGATCTCCATCGGAACCCTGTACAAGATTAAAAAAAACAAGGAAACAGCAACTAACAACAGCTGAACCAGAACAGAGAAAGTTCAAGAACAAGCTGAATACACAGAAGCAAACAAACAAGTGAAGAGGAGCATTAGAACCGACAAGAAGAAATACGTGGAAGAACTAGCAACGACGGCGGAAAAAGCTGCAAGAGAAGGAAATATGAAACAGCTTTACGATACAACGAAGAAACTAGCAGGAAAATGTAGTAAACCAGAGAGACCGGTCAAGGAAAAAGAAGGCAGGCCAATCACTGAAATTCAACAACGGCGGAACAGATGGGTAGAGTATTCCTGAATAGGCCGGCTCCAATGAGCCGACCGGACATCGAAGCAGCACACACAGAACTTTCTATAGATATCAATCCACCAACGACGGAAGAAATCAGAATGGCCATCAGACAAATCAAGAGCGGGGTAGCAGCAGGACTTGACAACATACCAGCTGAAGCACTGAAGTCAAACATCGAAGTAACTACAAACATGCTTTACCCTCTATTCAAAACGATTTGGGAGGAGGAACAAGTGTCGATTGACTGGAAAGAACACGTCATCAAGATACCGAAGAATCGAGATCTGAGCAAATATGAAAACTATAGAGGAGTCACACTACTATCAGTACCAGGCAAAGTTACTAACAGAGTGTTGCTGAACCGGATAAAAGATTCAGTAGACACCCAACTTCGAGATCAACAGACTGGATTCTGTGAGGATCGGCCGTGCACAGACCAAATCGCGTCACTACGGATCATCGTCGAACAATCAATTTGATGGAATTCGTCACTATACATCAACTTCCTTGATTATGAGAAAACATTTGACAGTGTGGATAGGAGAACCTTATGAAAACACCTTCGACACTTTGGTGAACCCGAGAAGATCGTCAACATCACCCGGAATTCATACGACGGACTACACTGCAATGTGGTGCATGGAGGACAGCTGATAAATGCATTCCAAGTGAGGAACGGAGTCAGAAAAGGCTGCTTGCTGCCTCCCTTCCTCTTTCTTCTGGTAGTTGACTGGATTGTGAAGAGCTCGACATCAGGTGGGAAACACGGAATAAAATGGACAGGTTGGGTGGAACTAGACGATTTGGATTTCGTAGATGACCTGGTTCTTCTGTCCTATGCACAAGAACAAATGCAGATGGAGACAACTAGTGTGGCAGCAGCCTCTGCATCAGTAGGCCTCACCGTACACAAGGGGAAAAGCAGGATCCTTAAATATAACACAGAGAACACCAACTCAACCTCACTTGGTTGAGAATCTCTGGAAGATGTGGAAACATTTACGTATCTGGGAAGCAGCATCGATGAACGAGGAGGATCTGATGCAGACATAAATGGGAGGATTGGAAAAGCAAGGGCCGCATCCCTTCAATTGAAGAACATATGGAACTCAAAACAACTTTCAACCAATATCGAAGTCAGAATCTTCAACAAGAACGTCAAGGCAGTCCTAGTGTATGAAGCTGAGACGTGAAGAACTACTACAACCATTATCAAAAAGATACAAGTATTTGTAAACAGTTGTCTACGCAAGATAATCAGTTTCTGTTGACCGGATACCATCAGCAACAGTCTACTGTGGGAGAGAACAAACCTGTTTTTATCTGAAGAGGAAATTAGGAAAAGACGATGGAAATGGATAGGACATACACTACGCAAATCAACAAACTGCATCACGAGGCAAGCCCTAACTTGGAATCGTGAAGGGAGACGGAGAAGTGGAAGGCAAAAGAACACATTATGTCGGGAAATAGAAGCAAATATGGAAAGGGTGAATAACAAATGGAAAGAGCTGGAAAGGATTGCCCAGGAAAGGGTTGGATGGAGAATGCTGGTGGGCAGCCTATGCTCCTTCACGTGGAGTAACAGGCGTAAGTAAGTAGGTAAGTAAGTAATAAAAGCATCTTTAAGGTAAAATGATTTACTCAGATATCAGTTTGTTAATATAGTAAGACTAAAAATGATACCATAGTTTTTTCTAACCAGTTGAAAGACTTTTATTATTATTATTATTTTTATTATTATTACCTGAAATGTGACAAAATATGGATGCTGAATCACAACAGAATCTAAATACTGTTCAACTATTCAGATCGACCTTCGTTACTCAGTAGATCAAAAATATATTTCAAAAATGTAAAACTAACTTCATTTGAAAAGTTCAAGTACAGTGGCAACCTATCAAATTTACTTCGTAAACCAAATAGACTCCTATTATATCTTTCAATACTGTAAAAAAAATGATAACCCAGTAAACAATAGTAGCACGATACAACACAACCTGACTTCACACCGATTAATCAGTAATTTAAATGCGATAAAGGTTACAGTAGTCATAATAATCATCAGTTAAGATTGTTTTTAATTTGCACATGGTGGAGAAGTCTAATTAAATCCCTCATGACTATGTGTTTTCACGAATGTAACGTTATTTTTAAAGACTTTCAGAAAACGATGGATGATAAGAGCTGAAAATAGAAGTGATTATTGATTCATTTACTCCCTCTAAGAAATCAGTATTCTAGCGTAAATAGAGAGTAACAAGTGAAAAAGTGGTCAGAAAATAATGATCATCTCTAGCAGTCCTAAACGTCACTCAGAATTCAATAAATTAAATATGTTTCTAAAAAGAACCCGACACACTACCTTAGGCGATGCAGAATATACATACTTTTGTACATGAATACCCTTCGCGAAAATATTTATGCTCAACGAAATGGTTAACTCACACCTATTTGTGAGAAATTAGAATCAACTGAAAGGTATACAAAAATAATCAGATTAATCAGTCCTCGAATTTATCCACAGAATCGCTACTCAATACGAAATAAGTAATAAACCTTTTTTTATTTAAAGAAAAGTTTTCAGACCATCCAGTGCATACACAAACATCAAAATACGAAATAGTTAATAACTGGATTAACCCACCCATCTCAGACCATGTAGTTGGAATGGGACACTTCTGCAAGGAAACCTGTTTTGAGACATCAATACATTGATCATTCATTGAGCAATAATTTAAGAATTCCACACTTTCTAGCTGTTTTAATTCCTGAAGTATGTTATCTACAGCTGACATATTCTTTTCCCCAGATACATTTTTTTGTTGACCAAGTGCCCTGTTATTCCCATCTTTCCGTAGACCGCAAAACTCAGTCTCACAGAGACTGTTGTTCTCTCTACAGAATTGTTTAATTTCATTGTGTACATTTTGTTCTGTAGTCTAAAAGAAAATGAACAAAGTAATAATATTAGTAAGCAACGCCTCATGCACACAAAGAGCGGGTCAATTATCATAGGTAGATATGCTTAGAGTAATCGCGATAAATAAGCTTCTGTATACTGTACTGTTTTTGTTTGAATAAACCTCAAAACAAATTTTCACTACCACGATGAAAGCTAGAATTTTCATAAACGATGGTGTTTTAACAAAAAAAAATTGTTAAGTATACTCAGACCTGTGCTAATAAGTGAGAAGCAATGGTATTTCAAACAATCATGCTGATTTGTGCAGCATCCAGTAATTACATAGCCGTTTAACACCAGCAATAAACAATACAAACTTCATGATAGACTAGTTTCTGATTTTTGCAGGATAAACAGTCTTCATGAAATTTTTGAAAACCATGTATAATTCTGATATTAGGGATTTGAGGCAGTCAGTGGTAATCCTTTGGACCTAGGTTTGTGATAACTAACACTCTTTAGCACAGCATATTCACTATTTAGGGGAGGGGCCTGATACTCATGGTATCCGGACCCTCAACCTAATAAGCGCTAAGGACTAGGCAGACGTGAAATCAACCAATGCTCAGCGATGAATCAATATCGGTGTTTGAGCCCTACATAGGTCACTCGAAAACAGAACTTCACAGTCTAAGAAACGTAAAGGTCCGTGGAGCATCAATTCCCTCAAGATTGTTAGTACCCCTTCGTGATAATCTCGAAATAGTGTTATATCTCGGTACATGGTTCCCCTGAACTATCTTCAACAACCTAACATCAAAAATGTGCACACGGTGTCAAGTCGCCTGGACAAGTGAACACATCCCAATTTAATCAGTAAACTCTCTCAGCACTATGGACTAAACAAACATAAAACTGACTACGAATTAGTGATCAATCGGTGAATATTAGATTAATGTAACTATAAACCATAATTTCTACCTGATGACCTAAAGCTGAATATTGTAGCTTTGATTCAACTGAAGGTGATACGGATCTGAAAAGGAACAGAAGTATCAGAATAATGATAAATCAGATAAATACTCCCTAACTTTGTTCCGCGAATGTATATGAAGACAAAATACGACTAAACTAAAAAACATGAACTAAGTAGCTAAATTAGCAGTCACTTTTAATCCATGATCACGAAATACGTTACAGATAAATTAGGAAATAAGAGTAGTATCTTCACTCATCAATGATGGGAGGCCTCTGTTTGGTTTCGAAAACGTATACCATCTGGCATTCAGTTTTTCCACGATCTGGTTACTCTAATCAGTCTTTTTAGGTATCATTACCAAGGTTTGACTTAATAATTCCGAATAAATTGAGCCTTGAGTAGATTGTTATAGATAAATTAATATATTTGTAATATCCCAAAGAGTAGAAATATTAAATTTTCTGACGTTTCGTATTTAATCAGTCTTGTTTCGAAAAGTCAGTTGACTGATTGTTATCCTAGCATCTTAGTTGTTCTGCCACAGTTTAGGACTGTATTCTGAGATTGTTGTACAACCGTGTTCATTGATAATGAAAATCTTAAACTTTACCGAATATTCGTCATTTACTGAACTAAAAATGACTAAACTGAAGTGAATGTGAGTGGGATTTTAAGTTATTCTATAAAGTTTAAATATTATACACCATACAAACGCAAGAATTCGGTATTACAAACTGATCAATCTGTCTTCTCTCAAGTAATATTAATTTGGTATAGGTGTAGAAACCAGTTAAGTAGCAGTTCATATGCTTGAAACTCCGTTTGATATCACACTATGTAATACTACCTACGTTCAGAAATTGATCTGAGCCTGTATTTAAATCACTAACATATGAATTGATGACCTGATATTCTGCTAAATAAGACATTATGTTCAAATAGAGAATATTATCTGTGCTTCTTAAATGATACAGACCTAACAAATAAAAAAGGATCGGACAAAAATCAATGGTAAGAGTTATGTATAATATGAGGATAACTACCAAATTATAGTAGTCACAAGTGGCATCAAATTATGATGTAAAACAAGAATTTCTAAATTCTCTCAGATGAAAAAATGAAGGTTTAAGTAAATCACGGAGCTTACATTAATTATTGACTCACTGTGGTAATATGAATATCAGGGCTGTAAGTTTTACATTGATTAGCATTGGTAGTAAATATAGGCTTATTCAAAATGTTTGATTTGTCTTCATTTGTACGGTCTTTTTGGTTACCAGATACAAGAATTGATTCAGACACATCATTTACTTCTGCCTTATCCGCTAAAGCTTCTTGACTTTGTGAACTTTTAGTGGATCGATTCTCCTGCAAAATCTTAAGATTAATAATGAATGAGTTTACCAAAGTGTGGTTTAAAAGGACAATTACCAATCATCGATCATATAAACGAATAGTTCAATACCATAACTTGTTTTATTCTAGCACTTTAAAACTCTAAATTAAAGAATAATTCTTAACCAAAGACTGGAAAGTAACAAAAACATTATCAGTGTAGGCTTGTGGAGATTGTTGAGCTTTTACGAAGATTATAAACCGATAGTGTTAGACCATCAGTGAAAACTTGTGAGCACTGTAAGACCGTTTCGTCCAAGTTTAGGATTCCTCAGAAGTGCTCATCCACGATCCTACATGCGGGATTCGAACTCATGTTCGTGATCTCAATCAATAAGCATCATTCACAATGCAAATAACTAGCTAAATTTTTTCTATTATTTAAACATTTTTCCAACCGTTTCATTGGGTTTAATTGATTATCAACTGAGATTACTTAAGATGATAAAAATATGTATTTTTTTAGTTATTTTGGACAATTAAACCATTCTTTTGATGCATTCCAGTAAACTTATTAATCGTTAACATTGTGCTATTCGTATTTGTTTTCGCGAATTTTCAAAAGTTTGTTCTGTAAATGGTGAGTGTTGCAATATGACAAAGATTTGTTAAGTAAGATTTAGACCTAGTAAACATGAATAAAACCGGTTGAAGTAATTATGAATAATTAACTGCTTTTTCTGAATAAGACATTTGATAAAGCCTAAAGTAAATAGTCATTGGGGAAAATGACGAGCATATAAACTGTAAAATATAAAAAGTCAAATAAGTAGGCAATTATTTAGTTCATACTATATGTTCGTTGTTCGTTTTATTTTGGTTGAATCCATATATATCTAACATGTTACCACTGACAAAGCATTGAAATAAAAATTTATGTTCCTACAACTTCTATTAAAATATGGTTTATAAGAAATATATGACGTTTAAAATTTTATCCACCGAGAATTGTTTTGGGACTACAAAATCGAATGACGCAAAATGATACAGTGTAAGACACTAATAAATCTTAACAAATCCATAGAACGTAAATAAATTATTTTGATGATTACTCTAAAATGGTACCTGTATTTACTTTTAATAAAATTTCTGTTTTTCAAAACGAACTGAGCGGTGTCACATTGATTTCACGCACGTATTACATATATTGTAAAATTGGTCATAAATATTTTATTGTCATAATTATCTGACCGATCACACACTTTCGAAAAGAACACCACTTATTGTGAAACGTCTTCCATTTTTAAATTCAGAAGTTTTAGTTACTTATTTATTGAACTTGTGTGTGACTATTTCCTGTAGACCTATGATGAATCACAATTGACGTATTCGAGTGTAGAAGAAACTCGAATCTAATTTCGTTTCAGGTTTGGTCAAATGAATATTTTGATATTGCTAAACCAGCAGTTATTAACAGATAAAAGCAAATATGTCCCTGTACGTAAATGGTAAAATCAACATTTAAACAATCAAAACATTGCTTTTAACTAGAGATAACCAACTTTAATAGCATTTTGGTGTTGTTTTTTCCTTTTCTGTTTTAACTCATTTTGACGACTTTGTAGAACTGAATGAATGGGTCGGCTATTATTCATGTTTTGTTTACTTAATCTGCGTTTTTGATTGTCAAGCAGACGATACATTACGGCTTCCGCTGCTAAATATCTTCTTCTGTGAAGTCTCCAAAATTTTGTATAACAGTCGCTGCGGAATTACGTCGATTGTCATCATGCGAAGTTGAGGTTATCAGTTTTACTAGAAAATAAATGTAGGTGAAACACAAAGTCCTATCTGAAACAACTAAATATTTTCTATATAAGGCTAATGGTCGAATAATGAGAAAGTTTTAAACCAGGATCTAGCTGTCTATCATTAGATTGTCGAGAACAAATGTGTCAGTGACAATAATTTTTTATTTCCTTCATAAATTTCATCAAATTTTTACTAGAGACGATTAAGATATCATTCAAAGTATACCGGTGACCATTAATTCCTTCAACAGATCAGTTTTATAGTAATAAGCTTTCTGAATGTAAACGTTTTTTTAGTTACTACTGAGTTCGAAAGATCAACTTCACATCTTCCAATTATTTTAGCAGAAACTAATGTGATGTGTGCTACTTATATTGACATAAGTAGTATATGATGTTAGTCGTGAACAGAAGGTCTGGCAGCAGTGACAAGAGGATCGAACAGTAAAGAACAGAAACAGGATGTAATTTGTATGAAAACGCAAGAGCAATGAAGTCTGAGTCATTTTGAGACAGTTGATGGACATTTTGCAAATTAAGCATTTACTTTATGATTGTTAGATTTTATTAACAAGTCCTGTAATGCTGTGTCAAATACATTCGATTGTCCCCACTGGTGTTCTTGTTCACTACACTAATACTACAAAAGGATCGAAGTATGTATTTCAGATCGATAATGAATATACTAAACAAGTCAGCCTACAAACGACTTCGCAGAGTTAACATTGAACTTTCCTTGTTATCACAGGCTATTTTGTAATTACACACTGGCATGAAAGTACAAATTCTTCAGCTTTCTATGTTGGTATAAGCTTTTTTTCTTTTGAAGCATTTAGTATCGCAGGATAATTTTAGATAAAATTTTCAGCTGTTCATTAATTGCAATACAAAATACTAAACAAAATTACATTGTTATTCTGAAAACTTCAATTTTTTTGAAATACCAAGTTCGAACTACTGAGTAAAATAACACGGGAGATAAACGCAAAAATCTATTAAATAAATTTGAAAACTAAACGAAAAGGCTTTCATTTTGAGCAACTAGAGACAAAATACGTGAATTAACAACTTATTTTAAACTAAACTTCAACTAAAGAGAAAATCCTTAAATAATTAAGGGATTAAACAAAAGTCAATAAAATATATAATCACACAACAAAATATAAATACAATCATTTTCGAAAAGTATCATCTGTCTAAACTTACATTCATCATTGAAACCACTTATCTGGCGTGCAGTGTTGATTGAATTAGATGAAGGTCTGACTAAACATGGAGGTGGAGTATCTGTTTTCTCATTGATATCTGTGTATTGTAAATCACCATCATCACCTGAAACTTCGTTCAAATCCATACAGATATTTCCTAATCTTGGATCTATATTCAAGTCTAAACTATCCCCTATCGTGTCCAAATTTTGTCCACATTTGAAGTCCTCACCTTTTTTGTCTGAACATGGTGTCAATATGTCATTCTAACAAAGTAATTGATAATCAAACAAAGAAGGTTATTAAGTACTCGAGAATATCATGACATAAAAAATCTTTTATAATACTCAGCATAAAGAGTACATGTAAATTTTCCGTTGAGTCGGTCGGTTACAACGTCGAACCCGTACTTATTCACACACGTTCAAACTGCCCCACTTCATCAGCACACGGAGTTATAACTGTCAGGGCAAATCGCAGAATAGTAAAGGTAGTGTAGTGAACGAGAACAACAGTGAGGACAACCAAATGAATTTAGACGGACAACTACAGAATTTCTTAATCAAATCTGTGAACCACACAGTAAATACTTCATTTGCAAAATGTCAATCAATTATCTAAGACTTGGTTGTTACTTCGTTTCCACACCAATCATTCTATGTTGTCGTTTTCTTCTCTTTTTGAAATTCTTAACCGTATGCCGCTAGGCATTTCACTTTCAGTTGATGATACATATTACTTATATTTGTCGACATCAGTAGCACACACCACAGTAGTAATATTATCAGTGATTATAGGAAAGATTACGCCACTTTTTGGTTTGGTGGCCCTAGCTTTCTTCCAGCATGCTCCTACAATCGAAAATATCGCCTGTCGAGGTAAGAGGTGGTTGGGCATACGTGACACATATCCCAACCACCTCAGTTGATAAAGATTTACTGCCTCATCAATCGATTTCCCATCTTTAACTAGTACTGTATTCCTAACCCAGGCATTGCTTACTCCGTGGTCCCAAAATACTCCACCAATGCCTCGTAGGCACCTACGATTGAACACCAGTAACCAACGAATATCCTCTAATATTAATGGCCATGTTTCACATCCATTAAGTAGAACAGAGCAAACTGCTGCGCAGTAAACTTCCCTCTTTTTGAAAGACGGATCTCTCACCTACGCCACATGTGATGCAAGTCGGAGAAAACCAATCGAGCCTTCTCACTCCATGTCGAGATTTTGTCAGACACCAGACCATCAGTACTCATGAAACTCCCAAGATAAGTGAAGCGGTTGACGTGTTCAACTACTTCAGTCCCTATCACTCATTCAGACGATGGCGCAAGTCGATCCTGAAGTAACTGAGATGTGGTTGAAGGCCAGTTAAACTATTCCGTAAAGAGTTCCGACCATCAGTTCAAGCTCCTGAATTGAGAGTGAATAATAGTCCCATATTTTCCAAAACAGTTTCACCAACAACCACATCTAAATACTCGTTTCCTTCATAAGTCTGAACAGTTGTCTACTTTTACCTATCACTGCCGACTTTTCCATCTCTTCTGCATTCGCTACTCACCACTGCTAACGATCATTACGTAGGTTTTTTATCGGCCTACATTTAACGTGTTCCGCTTTTGAACTTAATGCCATATCTACACATACGAAGCCATGGGAAGTAGCATTGGGGTCTCCAGATACTCGAAGAGTAAGTCATGCCAGTCCTTTATATTGGCAAGGTGAGGTCAAGTGAATGACCATATGATGTGTGGGCGAGGATGCTAATGACTGGTTGTTTGCTTAGTCAGACTAGTAGATAGTCTGACAGGTACTAGATGAGTTATATATTCTATTACCTTTATTATTACTGTGATTGATGAAGGATTGCTGTCGGTTTTTGGCATGGAAATATATTCGCGTTCTAGTCAGGCTTATCGCGTGTTCTTGGTCTGAGTTGTGTTAAAGTCCTATAAAACAGACGCTGAGAGGGAATCTAGTGTAGATATTCGTCTAAGGCAAATTAACGTCCCATCCGTGTAGACGAGCAATCCTACCGTTATAACACTGTACGTGGATCCTGTATTCGCATTTTGGAAACGCAGCACATATCGATGACGCGAGGTTCTTGAGTTCTATTTAAACAAGCCTGTGTTCCTGTCTGACACAAGGTTCGAACATTAAAAGCTCCAACATGCAGTTTCGAGCGTGGTTTCAAGAAACTGGAAATAATATTTCGTTAACTCAAATCACTAACACTGGTGGCGCGTGGTGATACAGATCAATCAAAAGGGTTAGTCATGGAGATGGAAGAACTATTAAGAGGTGAGAGAGCGATTCGATCGTCAACAAGATGATCTTGGATGCTGATAGAAGCATGAGTGTGGTCGTCACTTCCCGATTGCACAAATCGTGGGAGGACATTTATTCTTGAGGGATTTGAGAAAGAAGCTGAATTAGTGGCGAGTTAGCTCCGCACTTCCAATAGCCTCACTGTCGGAGACGGAAGTCCGCGGGCTAAGGTGAGGTGTAACATTTCTAGAACCGACCTTATCTAACCCCTCCTTCCGTTGTGAAAAGGCACCTTTGCTAGATGTTATTTGAAGCATTATTTATTAAATATTAGTATTAGCTACAACATTTAACTAAGAAAGATGAAAAATCTTACAAACAAGTGTCACTTTAACATCATTTATCACACACGTATTCGGTTTTTGAGACCTTGACAGATTAACAGTAAGAAATATATTTATCTTATGGAAAAAAGTCAAGACTACCCTGATACTTTTTATCATTTTCCAACTGTTATTTTGAATAAAATTGTGAAATTCATGATAAATATGAGCATTCACAAATTCTATATTCCTTGATCTTTACAAATAGTTAAAAACACAAATACCTTGAAGCCATATTCTTCTAAATAACATCTATATAGCCTATTTTTTTAAAGAATTCATACACGTTTACTGAGCATATACTAAACAAATTATTTGAAAAATGGATTTCTAGACGACCTGAATTAAGAAATCTAATTAAATAAATAATTATTATTTTAACGACTGAAATTCTTATCTTCTAAAGTGTTCAGGGATTATGAACGGAAAAATTTACTTGACTTCTGAATTTAAAATTAAGAGTTGATTAAATATTCTATTTGATAAATCACCATAATCTAGAGTCTCTCAAAAGTGACACCAATACCTAATGTCCCGAAAAGCCTTGAGAGAGAGATAAAATCTTGCAGCATGGGCAATGAAGTTTCCCGGATTTATAACAGTCAAGATATTGATTGGTTTATAGGAATACAGAATTCTAGACATTTGAAGAAAATGCAAATCTAATTTCTCCATCTCGTATATTTAACGAATATGATTTTCCGATTAAAGTTTTTATTAGAAGTACTTTGCAAGAGATAATACGAACTTTTTGTCTTCAAAAAACATTGGGAATAATGAAATAAGTAACTATGAATCATATCAATTAATATAGTGAGAAAAAGCCTTTGAATCATGACGGACTTTGACAAGAAATACTTTATCTTTTAGTATTCAACACTTCTGAAATCAAGGAAACAAATATCTTACTGTTTAACAGCAATCAAGCTGTGTTCAGAAAGTTTTGCTACCGAAAAACATACCTGTATGGATAAATATAAGATTAACACTATGAAATCATAAGGACATAACACGTTAATATGGTGTAGCAGTTATGTTAATTACCATTTCTACCACTTTAATTCGGTTGCTCTTTGTTTTGTGAAAACTGTAAGGTTGTCATGGTGGTTTAGCTACTTAAAAATGTTTTATACAGTATAAATGAGTTTTGGTCTTTCACTTGTTCTTCTGGGAAGAAATTAAGCTATTTACATATTTTTTCAACCTTTACTCAAAGCACTTATTTCTCCGTTTTTGAATAGAACTATTAAGTTCTTTCCTTATACATTAGATTCACATTGAGGTTACGAACGAATATATATTGTATAGATTTTTAATTTGCAGCATAACAGGTCAAGAACACTTATTAATCGACGGCAATGTAGAGCATCAGGTCTGTTTTAATAATTTCCATTTACAGTTTGACATGTCATCACCAAAAGTGTCAAAAATTACTGCTTACAAAAAAATTTAAAGGCTGTGGCTATACTAGAGTTATAACTAGAAATCAGATAAAACTTTTCATAAAGATACAGATTTTTGAAAGCCCGTAAAACGATGCCTTTCATAAAACTACCTCCCAAGAGCAATATTTTTTATATTAAATTTTTGAAAAATTTACCAAGTTTGTTGGATGTGTGTGACGAAGTGGTTCACAGTATACACAAAAATTATCTTTTGCCAACATTCAGTTGTGTGCACAGAGTAGTGTAGTGACTCTGTCAACGTCTCAAGAAATTATACTCATCAAAACGTACAAGAAGCCTAAAATCTATACACATTTTTATTCTAAATTACCACCTCTTCGGCATTTATGAGTGGCCATAGTTCAATCAAACTTTCACTGACAACTAAAATATTGTGAAATGTGAACCAAAATCCAAAATCGTTGATAAATCTAACCCAACATTATTTTACGATAAATTAGGCTCTTTGAGTGAGGCAGTAATTTGCTTAGATCAACCAGAAGGCCTCAGTTATTATAACGTAATTGTATAGGCAATCAAATGCAAAATGAAATTAAACTGCGTTGACAAAACAGCCTTCTAGTGCTTCTGGGTTTTCAGTGATGGTCCAACACCGATCGGTTCATGATCCCAGTAAAAACTCAGCAGTCTCTACAACCATATACTGAAAATATTTTTAGTTCAGATAGATAGATTTCCACTTACGTCGTGTTGACCGTCCCATATAAAATCACTATCGTTTTGGTCATGAAAATGTGTTTCAAGCCATCTTGAAACACTTTTATCATTTGAGTTACTCGACCACGAACTACATTTGTCTCTCTTAAATGTTAATGAATCGGTGTGAATTGTGTTATTGAAATCGATGAGCGGGTTTTCATCGTCGTTAGTAATTAAATTGTCAGGGAATTCCAACTTCTGTTCAACCAATGGTTCTGAAGTACTAGAAGAAACTTCTGGGCCTCGAAAAGGATTTTTATTGCTTCTAATAACCTCCGTCACATTTCTTGTTCGAGAGTTGTCCTAAAGTACAAATTTTAAACTTATGATTTAATGAAATAATATTCAAATATAGATGTTTATGTGCATAGGACGGTCACCAATTATAGTTTTATGTATAACATTCTACGTCATACTTCATTCGGACTTCTCACACTTCATGTACTTTTAGGTCGTTGAAACGTATAGTTCACCTGAACAGGAACTAAGGTGATCTTGGTTACAAACCTGCTGCTCAGAGGTGAAAACTCATGTTTTTTTCATGGATTTGAATGCACGTTTTACATCACCCTCTTTAAAAATCTAGCATTACGTTTTAAATGGGCGATATATTTATGAGATAAAAGGGGCATGGTTTAAAGGCTAAGCAACCTAAGTTTTCACATCTTTTGACGTGAAAAAGTATAGAAATTAGGATCTAAGATTTGCTACAAAATAAACAGTGACGATTGAGTGGGAAAATAAACAAAAATTCAAAGGTTATCCCATCTCAATGGTATTATTAAAAACATGTTAACTTACAGTGCTTTACAATAATTTTGTAAGACCGTACAGCTAAAAACAGAATACTTTGTATTTTGTTCCATTCTGTTAGGCCATTGGTTCAAAAATGTGATATTTATTTTTATCCCAAACAACATCATCGTAGCTGACTTCAGATAAAAATAGACACTGTGAATCATGACCGATAAATTTCAGTTAAGAATGTTTAAAAAAGTACAGGCAATTTTCAGTCATCAAACAAGTAAACAACACATACTGAATATACAGGAGTATATGCAGATAATTGTGAGGTAGCTAGGATGTTGGATGATTTGAGTAAATTCATTAGTAGAATAGACGTTTTGAAGTGTGATAAAATATTATCAAGTATTCAGCTATTGTTAAAGAAAAATTGAAATGTGAACATATACATAGACTACTCTGTGCTTCCTTGATGATATTACTAAAGTCATATGTAAAAATAAAAATGGAGAACTTCTACCAGTTACTGAAGTCAGGTTTAATGAAAGTAATCAAAGGTCAATAACACAACAGAGTTTCAAAGCAAATGAGAGTCGTAATCAAAACGTGTTGTAGAGTGGGTATAAATTATGCTTATTTTATGAGTTGTTTGTAGCAGCAATTCTTACGAATTTACATTTACGTAGCAACTCGAAATGATATGAACTTCTCATATGAAGAAGTCAGTACGACGAATTCCTGTTTGACACACATGTTTTATGTACAGTAAATTATAGCGCTAATTGTTATGAGTTTTTATGACTTTTATTATCTACTTACAACCCTTTGCTGTTGCCATTGAAACATACCTAGAATTGTTCTGATGTAGTCATTTATTCAATTTACCAAACTGATACTTGAAGATTTTAGTTATAAATCGTAAACAGCGGCTTATTAAGATATATATCTGTTATGTTTGCTAATTCACAAATTTTAGTGCTTTACAACCATTTCTGGAATGCAGCGATTTTTTTTCGAAGACCTTGATAAAATCGATGGATGAAATGAGTTTGGAAACAACTAGCTTGTGTTTCATAGCATAAAACAGATTATAGAAAAACTTGTGGCTGATTGTATTATATTGTTGCACATAGTAAATTCATTAGGCTAACCAGTAACGAAACTAAACCAAAATATTTTCGTTTATGAACGCCTGAACTATTCCATACTGCAAAATTTAACAATCAAACGTAAAGTATGCCTTCATCATTAGTCTACCTGGAAAGTGGGATCAAAATTTATCGTGTCAGCTATCATACACCAAAGTTATTTAGACAAGTTGCTATGGTTGATTGAGGAAACGACAAAAGGCAAGGCTCAAATGATAAATATGATTATTCTTTTCTTCACAATAAACGTGTTGTTGTAAAATAGCTCACTCAGCAATTCTTATTATCAATACAAACTCCAGCAATTACGATGATAAAAACGTTGTGCGTTCATTCATCTATAAAAAAACGACTAAAGGCAAATCTTAAATTGACAGTCTAGACTTAAATCTTGCATTAAAGTCTTAATTTAAACATCCTAAATTCGAGAACAAAGTAGTCGGATATAATAGTTAATTATTAAGGCGTTAACTGTTAGTCCTAAGACCAACTTCCTAACATATTGTCTGAACTTCAAGAAGACACTTTATTTCGAACATATTATTCAAGAATCAAACAGAATTCAATACATTTACAGTATGGTATGCAAAATTAATGGGGCATATTCAACTGTATCTGTAAGGTTTCTCCAGAAGCCCCGAGACGTTTGCCTCTTACTTGTTTGCTTGTTATTATATGGAAATACATATCTTGAGAAAAGCTGCAAACGAAAGATATTCTGACATGTTATGAACTTTAGAGTATAATTATTCAAAACCAAAACCTGGTTAAGTGAAATGCAAAACATTGTACAAATTACATTATATATTCTTGTGGTCGAACGACTACTGCTAACTGCTGACTTGCATGGACTTATTTGGGAACCTTTAAGACTTAAACTCATAATGTTTATACGTTTCTATGTTATTGAAAATACGCGGGTAAAAAAACCTTCAAAATCCAACATTCTAAAGTAAATCCGAAACTTTTCAATAGGCAATCTCAATTTTTTATTCTTGAATTAGGGTGACAAGACCTGAGGATTGCGTCAACTGTTTCATATTATACCTTGATGAATGCGTCAGATCTTTGATAACTGCATAAGATTTGTAAAGCTGAGAAATCACCAAAATAAATAACTATATTCATCCAGTTCGTTCTCGATTTACCGAAGTATACTAGGGTAAATGATCCCAGCTATGCGTCAGAAGATGTCACAACTATTCAGGGCTTAAAAATTCCTTTGTTAGTAACAGCTTTATAACTAGTCTCAGTCGAACAAGAAGCCAGGAATGAAGTTCAGGGTTATGTTTAGTAGATAGTCGGTGCGTTGACAAGTATATGATCTAGACTGACTAACCCTTGAGACGGAATGAGGTGTTTGCACGAATTAATGATACTTGACGTTCATCTGATTTCGTATTCTAACACAATTCATTCCTTGGCGCCCATATAGACCTATTTACTGTAAGTTACACTATCTCGAGGGCCACTGGTTTCTACAGTAATTCAAATACTTCCAAGCATCACATTGCGATTAGACCTTATATGGAACAGTTGAACAGGAATTAAAATTCTGAAGTGTTTAACAAGTATATGGAAACGTTCGAAATCAGGAGCATCGCCAGGAAAGGTGTGAAAGATGATAAACTTGTGGCACATTTCCATGCATTCGCTGAAAAGAATCCTACTGTTTCATGAAAACTTTGGCATTTCCAGAAAAGCCTATTTCCCATCCCCATGCAACTGTTAAGAACCTATTATTAAATCACGTAAAGTACACTAGTTTTTAATGTCGTGAGAGAGCAGGATTTCATGAGATGATTCGTCAGAATAACCAAAAGATTGGTGAATTCATCCTTGAATTGCAGAACAAGCTGCCAAATGTAATTTTGGTGATCAACTTTATGTGCACCTGCGATATCGACTGATTTCAAGAACTGACATACCAGATATGGAAAGATAACTGTTAAAATGCCTAACTGTTCTCTACAAGATGCCAGAAATACACTTACCAATTACGAAGCAATGAATGAACTTGATATCCAGCCGGCGAAACGTTCTTACACTTTGCTTAGTCTCTATGATGACATACAGTCTCAGGGTCGATCAAGCTCGCGTTTGTTTGATGATGATCAACAAGGAATCGCAAAGCAAACCACAAAGGTGAGGGCAAGTTTGGTAAATGTTTATCCTCTGGCAAATTTCGTTTTCGTAGTTCATCTCCATTTCGTAATGCTAAATGTTTTAAATATGAACGTAGGACACATTCAGTCAGCATACGAAAACTACTGTTCGTATTGCTTCAAGTAGTACTAAACAATTTAGTTTAGATCCCATTAATTGGAGTGTTTACAACGATCATTTATCTTTATCCACCATTCCAAAAAATAAAGTTCATATTCAAAGCGTTTAAATTCATCCCTTGGTTTATTTCATGACTTTATTGTAGACAGATACAGTATAGTGTTCATTTTTGCATTCAAGAGCTAGATATCTTGTGGGGCACCTCTGCTGACCTCTCGATATTGGGGATTACTGCACACAAATTGGCCATTCAACGATGAACTGGAGAGGAAACTAGCTACATTTCTATTGCGATATAGAAATGCTAAACATTCATTAAAGAAAGAGAATCCATCATAGCTACTAAGAAGTAGGATTCTTCGCTCGAATATGTAGTGATTAAAGTCCATAAAAATTGCGTACTAATGATGTCACAGGTATTCAGTGTTTGACAACGCTTCTACCAGTAACACCTTCTAATATGATTTGTACCCACCGAGAGAAATCAAAAGGCAGAGTCGAGGAGATCGGAAGAGTGTATTTGGCGATAACCAAAATATCGGAATTCTCTGATCTAATCTGGCTAGCGATTGCGGTTGATGTTGAGCACGGCGTTGCCACACGTGATCTGGTGCGGATGCCTGACCGAGCGCCTTCAGCTAGATGAGTCCACTAAAACATATGGTCAGGATCCAATGTCGAAAACTTAGTGTTATTTATTTTGGGGATTTATTTACCGCTACAGATCACTCCCCCCTAGTGGGTTAGTGATGACCCTGAGACGCGGCCAGCCAGAAGTTTAAACCCAGCGAGTTTGTCGTTGGTAAACACTCTTCTGATAGCTTTCTAGGATTAGCAGCGTCTGGTCGTCTTTCCTTACTATATGGGACCGAGATACAACATAGTAAAAAAAAGAAAAAGTACGATGAAAATTTCGACTCCTCATAAACGTCATCGTTCTTTTCCAGCCGCCTGGAAAAGAAAAAAGAAAATGTAAGTGCATGTCGAAATACACTCGTATGTGCGTAAAAACAAAATGTCGGCGAAAAAAATTGGAATCTAAACTAATTTACACGTAATATCGTTAAGAAAAATTTGTTTTTTTTTAGAATAAAAAATAAAAATATATATAAGCATATTAAAATTGTTTTTTTTAATATATATCGTAAAAAGAAAGATCGAGATAATATTAAATGTCCAGTAGTGCCTTACGTGCAATAGTCGTTTAAATGCTCTGGAAATCTAACTCTTCTTCCAGAACGTGTCGTTTTAAGTTTGTTTTCATGTACATTCGGAGTATCATAGCCAGTGTTGGTTGTCGGTTGAGGAATTATGAGTAATAATAATAATAATAATAATATATTTCTGCATGTGCAGGTACACACCGTTTTTACAGGCATGATCTATAAATTACAACATTTGTTGGTTCGCAAAATGCTTCCCAACTTATTAAGTTTATAGTTGTTATAAGGTGAAATCGTAGAGCGCTTGCTGTAAACTATGACCTTGAGAGGACGCGTACGTTAAGTTTGCTCCAAACGTCAGAAGTTTCATAGCTGTGCTCTCAGAGCAAGATTCTGAAGGAGAAAAAAAAAGAAACAGAGGAGCAGCAAGGCACTTGGATGTGAACGCCAAAGGTTGCTTAACATTGTGTAGTAGAACGGACAGAGGTATAATAAATTAGAATAAATTCATATTATGTCTTGTTAGAGTGAAGTGAAGTCAGAGGCTCCATATTAGAGAATGTACTAATAAAGAACAACGAGTAGTGATGTTTAACAAGTTGGAGTAAGCTCACATGAAGGAAGGGAAGTCAAGGTTGGTACAAGGGAAGCGGTTTATTAGAAGGGTGTATATATAGAGGGTGAAGTGTTAAGAATACTAGTGACTATATCTTTTATTGTCTTTTTTCTTTTCTTTTTTTGTCCATCCGATGTCAGCCACGCAATCCTAGTGTAAAAGTCCGAGTTAGCATGTTATAGGTTGTCTTAGTAGAATAGCTAATCCAGCATATTATTGGAAACATGAGTCTGAGTGGTGAGCGTAGGAAGACAATCTATATCTTAGATTGACTGTCTTATTCTCAATTATAAAGAGCCTGATACATACAAAATGTTCTGTCCCCACAAACACGGGTGGATTGAAGTTATCGCCCTCACCATCAATGCTTGCTGGTCAGTAACTCCACCCTCCCTCCTTTTGTGATGTTAGGCTCATTTAAGCTTATTTTTGTATATACGTCATACCTCACACAATCCTCTGTTTCACAACTTGTTGGAAAGCACTATTTCTATAAGTACCATTTTACAAGCTTATCAGGCAGTTACAAGCTGTGGACTGTGGGTAAAGCATCGATGCAGTGCCTCTGTTGACTATAGTATAAAGTATAGTTTGCCAAACAGAGTATAAGCGTTAAGAAGGGTATATTGTAGGATAGTTGTTTATTTAAGCAGGCGGAAAAAGTATAGAAGTATGAGTTGTGGATAAGGGAACGAGTGGAGAAATAATATTAATTGCTAGTCAACATAGTGTACAGAAGAGTAAAAAGTTAATATAGGATAAACAGGAAGGAACTCACAGTAACTTGGTGCTGATGTTATTTTCTGTTGTCTTAACCAGTTGATTGGTAACAGGTTCCATAGATGCAAGACCACTGGTAGTAGGCAGCCGATTGTCGGGTCCTCTTGACTTTTTAGGGTGGTAGTGATGGTCCCTTATCGACCGAGTTTAGTTTAACAGTAATGATAGGTCCAGTGAGTTACCTGTCTACTTCAAGTGAAGAAATGGGGTGGAAAAAGTAATTAATACAACTGCAAAGTAGGAAAAATAAGGCAAACTGAACTTGAAGTCCATTTTGGTCTAGACATGGAGAGAGCCTATGATGTCTGAGTGGGGTGCAGATGTGTTCGTACGTGCAAGATCAGTGCGAGTGAGGGCTTGATCAAGCAGTTTCACAAACGTATGTAGTTCATCTGCCATGCGAGTCTCGGAAGGAAGACTGTTCCATATTATTGCATACTTGGTGAGGAAGAAGTTTTCCCGAGTTTTTGATCTGTATTTCTCAACTTTGACCGTAGATACTTTGTTTCGAAGTTCGTATTCATGTGAATCTCGGGCAAGAATTATCTGACATGTTGAGTAAGTAAGGTTTTTGAGTAGTTTGAAGTAGAGAATCAAATTAGACCTAAGCCTTCTCTCCCAAAGGGGTGCTATTCCTAAGATTTGGCATCGAGAACTGTAGTCAATGACCGAGTCAGTCTTAAGTACTTTGCGGGTGAAGTCTCGTTGTATTCCTTCCACCTTTAGTATATCAGATAGACGTAGGTTGGAAAATAAAAACGAGCAGTATTCAACGATAGGTCTTACACAAACTTTGTAAAGAAGGATTTTAGATTCATTTTGATAGAAATTACGGAGAATGAAGCCAAGCAATTTCCGCATTTTGGATGCTTTGGCTGAGATGTGTTCAGAGAAATTAAGACTGTGTGAATAATGTACCCCTAGGTCAGTTACTGATGCCAGTCTGGGGAGTGTGTGATCGCTAATTGTTAGTTTCATTTTAAGAGACGTGTCTCCTATACATAACCAGCCGCATTTCTCTATGTTGAGCTCTAACCT